CGATGTGCCCTTTGGAATTGTCTACTCAGGAAAGGTGTGCCCGAGAAATATGTAAATATTATCCAAGCATTATATGCGCGTAGCACGGGCAGAGTAAGGGCTTACAGCAGGCTGTCGCCACCCTTCAATATCTCCAGCGGTGTGAGACAAGGATGCCCGCTGTCACCTTTCCTATTCAACTTCGCTATTGACGAAGTCATGGAGATTGCATTTACAGGACATGACTTGGAAGGTGTGGAGCTACTCCCAGGAGAAGGACTTCTTGACTTAGAGTATGCAGACGACATTGCCCTCATCTGTGACAGCTCCCAGACGTGTCAATCCGCGCTGGACAGATTAGCACTAGCTGTCAGTCGCTTCGGGCTTTGCTTTGCACTACCGAAGTGCAAAGCGTTCCTCCAGCATTGGCAGGGTTCGCCCCCTGTGCTGACCCTTGGTGGGGATCAGCTAGAAGTCGTTCAGAAATTCAATTACCTGGGAAGTTGTATCAGCGCCCTTGGGATCGAAGACGAGATCACGAACCGCATAGCGAAAGCCCGAAGTGCTTTTGCTAACCTTCGCCACCTATGGCAACGGCGCGACATTACTCTCGCCCTGAAGGGTGGAGTGTACAATGCAGCGGTACGTTCGACCTTACTGTACGGCTGCGAAACCTGGCCCCTAAGATCGGCGGACATGAAGAGGCTACTTACGTTCGACCATCGGTGCCTTCGCAGTTTGGCTCACATCTGGTGGGAACACCGCGTGAGTAACGAGCGTGTTAGACGCCTTGTTTACGGCCTAGGAAAAGGGAATGAACCGCTCAGCACCGTCATTTCACTCACCAGGCTCCGATGGCTGGGCCACGTGTTGCGCATGCCAGCCCACCGACTCCCTCGACGTGCGTTGTTTGCTCACCGGGGATGTGGGTGGAAGAAGAGGAGAGGTGGCCAAGCGATGACTTGGTCCAGAGGAATGAAGGCCCTCACTTCGGAGCTGGCCTCAGTTGGAGCTTCACGGCTCCCTGGTTGGGGTCCAAAAGACGGTGAACACGTTTGGCTGGATACACTTGCTGATATGGCAAGGAGCCGACCTCAGTGGCGTTCCTGCTGTGAGTTTCTTTGTCCCTCCCCATCCCTTTAGCCTCCCCCTCCATCTACGATCTTATTTCGTAGGGTAAAACGTAATTAAATTTTTGGTTTTGCCTAGTAGCCGGCTAGTAGCTTACCGGAACGATGCGTATCCGTTGCTGGTAGCTCAGCTGGCATTCAACTGTCGTATTTATTTTTCCTCTATGTATTGTATGTATGTATGTATTTCCTTTATGTATTGCGGTACAATAGCGGAGGTGTTTTACCATCTCTAGCTGACATGTACATTTCACTTCAACCCCCAACCTGGAGGACCAGGAGGCTGAGTTTGTCTGGCCTCTAACCATTGACCAATCTGGTGTGAGTGGCTTTGAAGGTGCAAAAAAAGCACCACCCAGCACAGCTCAATGGATTGTTGAGGCACACAAACCATCGCAATACGGTAAGGTCCAGCCTCATTGCGATGGACTCAGCAGACAGTAACACGTAATTATTCTTGCTAAACTTTAGTAGTCACAGTAGAGGAATTTCCCTGGTACGTCCGACGGTTACATAAGCTAATAGGAGCAATTGAGCCAAATGCGGACATCAAGTCAAGAAAGACAACCATGGAGAGTCGTACGTGAGCAAGCAAATATGTGGACAATGCATCCTCGACTAAAGCCGAAGCCAGTCTTTCAATGATCTGACACACAGGAGGAATAGTGAACCAGCGAGACATGACGACTGTGAGTGGTTCCAAAGAAGAAGGTAAATGTCCGAACGACATTTGTGTAAAGTTCTTAAGGCATATACAGATGGGAATGGCGATCGACAACCGTCAGTATGAGTGTTCCACACAGTGTTGAAATGAGTAGTTTGAACAGTCACCAGGGTATCCATCATTTTTCGTCAACGATAGATATTCTTGCCCAGTTAACATACTTACCTTCAATGGAAGGAATTACCGTGTAAGATCTCCAAACGCATGTGTAAAAACACATCACGTAAGTCCAACTGACCCATCCACATGATGATCTGATACTAAAAGAATGCAATCCGACGATATGGTTAACGAGGAACAGCTGTCTTGCATTCACAGCAATTCTCACCCCTTTTTAACTGGTTTACTTGTACCAGCACTCCGAATAACTTGGGGCAGCACTCGACTTCGCCCAGTAGCAATGATGTTCTCCAGCTCACAGAACACCAAGAAAAGCGGTAACTTTCAAGGATCCTGGCCAGAAGCCACTACTGCGAGTTATGAGAGCTGAAGATCAGCACATAACGGGACTAACTGGCTTGCATCAAGCGGCGTTTAAGAAATCCATCCACAGTTCGAATGTCTCAAGTCGGACGGAGAAGATACTTTAAAAGTCCTCTCTGTGGTGTATTAGAGACGAGCGCAATCGGTAATCGGCTAGTCCGCCCCGCTCGCCATAGATAACTGACGGAGTGGTTCGTCTTGATAGCGATGAATTGCGCACAGTTGAGACGATCTGCTCCCTCCATGAATGGGTTACTGAACATCGCTAGAATTCTTACGTAGCACGGGCATGAAAAAATACGGGCGGAGAGCGTGAAAAGTTAAAGTGTATGGGTAGATCCAGACTCCGATTCAGATAGAGATCCCAAATAAACTGATCGTCGTGTAAACTGCGCAACTCGAGTACGAATTAAATCAGAGGCGAGAAACAAACTGCAAACGCTCTTCCTGCCGAGTCAGATGGCGTACAGTGAAGTGAAGAAAAGTGCCGGTGATACCCCTGAGAGTTTATAGTATATAACATCATGAGATTAGTAGCATGAAATACTTCGAATAGTTTGTGATAATCAGTCGCCGCCAACGCTCTCTTAGGCAGCGTGTTTGCTCCGTTTTAGCTTGAGCCTGAAAGTCCATCCGGTTGCATTGTACTCGGAAACAGTAGCGATTCTTTTCCTGTAGTTCAACAGGCTTGCTCACCTCCAGGACATTTAATGCCTAGTGTAGTGATAACCAATTGGAGAAGTCATTCCACCGAAAAAGGCACTCATGTTAATTTGGCGAAAACAAAGTACATAAGGCATCCTGATTGGCGGCAAATTCAACTTCATCAATCGACGGTGGACTATAACCTGATCAGAGTCCACGCATGCGTTACAAAATTTGTGGCAACCGAGAATGGAATTTGCCTAAAAAATGGTAGTGTGATGTAGTCGAGTCTGTCGCTGACCAGAAAAAAGAGGCCACCCGCTAGTACACCGGTATGCACAGAAGCATGTTTTGGTAGACGCTCACCGTCGTAAGTGGTTTGAAAGTGAACCCAAACGGGCCATCAAATGAATGTCTGATGAGCTCAGACACCCGAATTACTCGTTTATATATTCGGCTACTGGGACAAAAACCGGGTTGGTTGTGTAAGTGTCAAAAAGGATTAGAGTAGTCGAACAACTCGTAGATAACCGACCCGCGGCCGCCAAGATAGATTCAATGAAGGACAAAAGACCGGAACTAGAACGCCCCCACCTGCAAAGAGAAAAACCACAATCGACGTTAGGCTAAGTTGCTATGTTACAAAGAATAAATATTGTAACTATAAGATACTTCAACAATATCTCCAACTAAATGGGTACACGCAGTTACCCTTCACAACAGAGAGCAACGATCCGGTTACAAAGACAGCGGAAAATGAAGCGGCATTAACGTCAAGTGCGTAATAATGGCATGATCAATGAAAGATTCAGGAAACTACGGTCAAGTGTCCAATCACAAAGCTAAAGGGAGTCTACTGAGTGAAACGCAAGTACAAGTGGGCGAGAAGGTGTGATACAACGTTGGCAGGTTAGTCACACAAAAATCATACATGGCTCATCCTGAAGCGAGGGCAACACGCGATCGAAGTAGCATAACGTGAATCAGACGCACGTAAATGAACAGGCGGGTCGATTCGCTGCCACCAATCAGCAGAGGGACGTGGAAACGTAAGGTCAATGCGGTGACTGAGCGCTAAGCGAAAGACTGCCGCAAAAAATAGAATACATAAAAACGATCGACAGAGTAGAAATGAAAGGGGAGATCGTGGCACTGTGATTGAGTGGATCTAACTAACAGTTTGGGTTATGTGTACTTAAACAGGTGTCACATAGATCCCGACCTTAACCAATGGGTGTGAAACAAGAAGTATGCGCTGAAAGCAACGTCTAACAAAGCTGGTGAAAGCAGCAATTAAGTTACACAAAAGCCTCAATAGATTCGTGATACATACTAAAAATTCCATCAGGATGAGACCATATAATTTTCGATCCCAAAGGAAACCCTGTACAATAGTTGGGGTATTTATCTCTTAGCAACGCCTCCGTAATAATGCAACAACGCGAGAACCTCTGTGCAAATAGGGACAATAAAAGCCGGTCTGGATCTCAAACTTTCAAGGAGGACCTCTTGACCCCATAGTTACACTTCCTTCTATGCGAGCGTGGTGTCACAGGTTTAGACCGCCCATTATTGTTGGTTAAGTTGACATGTGAGTTACCCCCGGTGTCAGTTGATAGTACATGTTCGTGGTGCAGGTTGAATTGTGTCCTGAAAACGAAAATGCAGTAGAGGAAAAATAGATTCGAGAAATAGTTGAATGATACTGACTACTGAGGAAACAAGTAAGCACATAAAACATGTTTTCAGCATCCTAGTGTATCCGTTGCGCAGCACCCTCGCATCTATCAAATCGCTGCACGGTAAGTATCCTCGTTTGCCAAACGATGGTGCACGGTACAAGTGGCAATGAGAACCTCAATGAACATCGTGGAAGGTGATTAGCTAAAAAAGTTGGAGTACCAAAGAATGTTCTCGTGCATAGTAGTGAGGTCGTCAGGTTAGAGAGAGACAGTGAGCCTGAAGTAACATGTTGTGTCGAAGATACACACCAGCAGCAGCAGCAACAGCAAACAACAGACGTTGAAAAGACACCGGACTTAAATGCACTGGTTTTATGGACAAATTAATGAGGGAATTTAATAAGAGTGGTTATGAAACAGCGCTAATTGTGGCACGAAGACTCAGTGTGTTTGTGCAGTGCAGCCCTCATAGAAGACAACTCTTCAATCCAAGATTTCACCAAAGGAGTGGTAAAGGTACCTGAAGAAATACCGGCAAGGTTAGTTAAAGAGGTCAGTTAGCAAATACCTATGGTGCTATGGAAAAATTCATCCAGGTTGACGCGACGATCAGTTTCTTGTTCATATTCGAAGGCTTGAAGAAGCATATCGAACCTAGGTGGCCCAGACGGAGAATGGGTAAAGGTGATGGAAAAGAGTTGAAGAAGGTGGATGAAGAAGTACTCACTTGTCAAAATCTTTGCACAAACGCGACACGTCGGTTTGCTGAGCATTGTATTCCTGCAATCCATGGTACGTGTAAAAAAAGCTAGGAAATGGGGACCTACGTTCCACAAGGATAAAACTTCTGTTGCGTTGAGGTCAGGGAGCAATTGACATAGCTCGTTCATAGCTTTCTGTGAAGAAAAAAGAGACGAAACAGTGATTTATTCAATCGCAAAGTACTTTGACAACACAGAGGGTGAAAAGATAATGAATGCTCACGCAGAATTCGGATATTCACACGATAATAATAACAATAATAATAATAATAATAATAATAATAATAATAATAATAATGGGTACATTTCTCTTAAAGAAAGAGACTGTGTCTATAGCGGCACAGATCAATTTGTACAGAAGAATTCATGCTCTTGCATGGGTGACATGCATAGGTGGAGTATTTGGATAGGCTTTTCATGTATTAACATGTAGTAACAAAATAAACTGCTAAGTGACACATGTGACCTTTCAGGCGTGGTTAGTCACGAGGAGATTGGATAGCAAAGGGGTTACCAGGAGTTTTGACACACTAGCTCCGATTGTCCATCAGTGAGGCTCAGCATAACCAGTGTTACATGCGGAAAAAAATTAGTGCAGCGATGAAAGAAAAAGCTAAAACAGCCTGATCGGACTCTGCGAACCTCGGTATGCTTTGGACATAATCGCGGAGTCCGGCAGCATAACTAAGTTAATAGATGTTAGGGTAGACGAATGAGCGTACGTCATCCATAGTCGTTTTCTCCGAGCTTTCCAAGACTGTTTCTAATCTTTTAGACAGAAACACCTAGGGTCAAGTGGAGCTGGGATGGATTGAACAATGTTGGCGTGTGCACTGTCACACCACAATCGGATCACGATAATCGATGGAACGAAAGGAAACAAATAAACAGAGAATGATAAAAGATGTCAGCTAAGGGTTGTCAAAAGAAATGGATCAGATGCAGGAGCGCCACAAGCAGATAGTTAGTAACTCTGGACGGTTAGCGTGAGGTGGGACCATTCGCGTCAAGGTCGTGCAGACGATATGATCCGATACTCATGTCAGTAGTCTTCTTTCCATTCGAACAACCTACTTGCTCCGGCCCCCTGGCAAGCTGGAATACCTAGATTAGGTTTGCATTTCAACTTCCTAAATTGGTAGGTAACATAACTCTTATGGATTAGTGAAGATGATATCGGAATCCCCTATCATTTTGGTGGTTCTAAACAGTGATGCACTGGGTACTTTTTACTTAGGGGGGCCGATCAACTCTTGATTCCTAGTTTTATGTCCGTACGTTGCTTATTTTGCTGCTTTAGACTCGAGGAACTTTGGGAGGAAAATTCGGCAAGTGAGTTCTTGATCCGCACTCTCGTTAGAAAATAGGTATCAGCAGTATGCCGGGAGCAGTACGCCTAGTTACCACGCAATCAGCACCGGCCGCACGTGGGCGAGGGTCGCTCTGTCTCTACGTAGGCTCGAATCCGCGCTGTCAGAGTACAAGACAAGCTCGTTACCTTTAGGCTAAGATCCGGCACCGTACCGGTGTACTGCTGATGTCTTCCGTCTTTACTCGTTAGAAAATGGTGGAAATACAATCTGTGATTGAGGCGGTCGCAACAGATGAACACCGTAACACGGTTTGGAGACGTGAAGTGGGCCTGCGGCAGGCAACGCGGACAACTGATAAAAGCTGTTCGCTATCCACAACGCAAGTTGCCACGCGGTCCAGGGTAACTGACTAAGTCAGTTTATCACCGTAACATGGGTTGCCATAGCGCAGACGTGAGGGAAGCTGCAGCCAAACACTAGAGATCGCGAGCACGTTTGGACATGAGTAGACAGGTGACGTCAATCGATCGAGCAACGTGCAGTCGAAGTGAGGAAGAATGAGCAATAAATTTAACAAAGCTCTGTACTTAATATACATCGATCTAGCGAAGTTGGTCTTCTGTTTCCCCCGTCTCGGCTGGACGACGCACAAGACAGAGAGCAGAGGCAGGCCAGCGATACAACAATGAGGACGGAGCATCATACTGCATTCAAATCTGTCGTGCCTGGACCTGATGTTAGCCAGCTGCGAACAGCGTGTGCATGATGTGTCGGTCTTAGAGCCTACAGCAGCGAGCGATCACCCGATGATCATGGTCAGCCTGTATCCGCGTCTGCTGGAGCCATCCTACAACTACCGCAAAACTGACTTCGATGGTCTCACTCGAGCCCCTAGTCAAGTAGACTGGCCGCTGCCGCAGGATTCATCTGTTGAAATCTGTTATTCTGTTAAAATAGGGTTTGAAATCGCTGCGCACCCAAGTGGTACCCCTTAAGTAGCGGAAAGCTGGGCCAGTGAGTACACACTAATTCGACAAAAAGTATGACCAGTTGGCTCGAGGACGACGCGTACTGTGGAATGAATTCCTCCAGTTTGGCTCTGCATATGATTATGAGGTGTACAAAAGGCAGCAGAATGTACGCAACATCGAAAAAGCACAAAAGCGTTGGCAGTTCGAAGAGAAGCTTACAACCGTAAGGAAGACAGCCCCAAGCAAGTTTTCGCTTACGAAAACGGAGCCTGAGATCTGCAGGCGATGTGGTAGTGTTAGAGGGCTCTGACGGATAGGTTCTAACTTCCAGTGCTGAATATGCGTCTGCGTTGTAGACGTGCTTCGCTTCTGTGTTTGCAAGTAGTCATGCATTCATACCAAGCTCCACGTGTGCAGCTCCTACGGAACCTAACAACCCCGATTGCAATGTGGAAGATGTGCGCAATCTACTTACAAGTCTTGACAGCACGAAGTTTGCCAGTCCTGATGGGCTCCACCTGTTGATCCTCAGGTCGTTGTTGGCTATCATCTTGCCTCCGTGGCCGATCTGTTCGACAGATCTCTGTCCAAATGTGCACTGCTCAGCAGCCAGAAATGCTCGACAATGAAGCTGATTTCGAAGGGCGGTAACGCAAGTAAGATGGACAAGTACCAGCCGATTGTGTGACATCCGTTTTGGCCAAAGTACTCGAGAAGATCGTGAAGTGGGGTCGAATGCAGTTACTGGAATCAAAAAATCCCTTGACCACCGCACAACAAGGCTTCTTGAAGAGTCGCTCCTGCATCACCGATCTGCTGTTGACGCTGCATGTATGGTTGTAAGTGTTGAACCGGGTAAGTTTGTGGATGTGACCCGCATTGGTTTCAGTAAAGGGTTCGATAAAGTGAACCATGACGTCCACCTCAACAAGTTGAGGACGTGCGGTGTGGGTGGTTCACTGCACAAATGGAGCAGCGACTTCCTTATTGGATGAAAATGGAGGGTACAGCTAGGTGACCATCTAACGGACTGTATTCCTTCACCAGTGGGAAACCCCAAGGTACAATACTAGGGCTCATTTTATTCCTGATCCGCATCCGCAAAGTGTCGCAGCTTCTTCCATCGCCTTGTGCCATGTTTGCAGACGACGTGGAGAGTTGGAGAATAAGTGATGCTCTTAATGACTGCAATGTAGCTTAACATGACGACCACATGTCTAGGTGGCCTGCAAATGTCGATCCGCCGGTCAACCCAGTCAAATCGTTAGATATAAGCCTGAAGAAGTGTGATGATGGGTGCGAGTACACACTGGCCGACCAACCACTAGATCCCACAACTTTCGTGAAGGACCTCAGCGTAGTCTGAAGCTGCAATTTGAAGTCTATAGACAACACGAACAAGCTATATGGAAACGAACTGCGCGTGCTTTGGGTGTTCAGGCACAGCTTTTGCAGTTCGTCTAGAGAGATTGTTATTCGCCTCTTCTCCTCCATCATAAAACCGATGCCCGAGTATGGATTCCCAGCCTACTGTCCGATCATCCGTGGCGAGGTGCAAAAACTGGAATGTGTTCAGCATATGGCTTCAAGGCTCATCCCTAGTTTACGGGGTACGTCATACAAAGACCGCTGCAAAGGTCCATGGTTGTGCACTCTGTCGTATCGTCCGTTTAGAGTTGACCTTATTTTGACGCATAGGATAATGCACCTGGGTCACTTTCCCATGTTGAGGCCACTGCTTCACATGCGCGCACCAAGCAGCACTCGCGGGTACCGGTGGACTGTGCCTCGCATCGTCGAGGAATATACCCCTTGTTTATTTAGTTACTGGAACGCTTTGCTTGAGAAAATCTTCGAGACGAAATCGCTGTAGGAAATCAGGAATCAGGGTGTGCATCCCACCCGTATAGCATATGATTAAGATGCGGGAATCGGTGAGGTTAGTCCGCGCACATGCCCGAACTAACTAAGATGGGGCAACACGGAAGTATGTCTGCTACCTCTTTGCAGTCTTCAGAATCTCAAAATAGCAATCAGCTTCCAGAAATTGCAGGCATTCTTGCAGCAACAGCAGACACTGTTTGAAAAATCGCAGGCCAAGCTGACTGAGATGATGACACAGAAGCTGTCAACAAAGGCAAGCTGAGGTAAGAGTGAGTGTCTATATTCCGAAAACCCTGACTCAGCAAGTCGATGAATTCCATTATGATGCTGACGCCTCCAAGTTCCACAAGTATGAAGATGCGTTCTGGATTGATTTGGTGAAAAATTCAGAAAGAAAATTCATCTTATGCTAAGGAAGCTGAGTGCAACAGAACATGGAAAGTTCACAAATTTTATCTTGCCAAAAAGAAGTATTAATCTGTTCTTTGATGAAGTCGTTTCACGTTTGTCACAAATATCTGGGGAACAGACATCCGGTATAAATATCTGACGATGGCTTAGAAACAAGACGAAGATTTGGTCAGCTATTCGAGCCCAGTACATCGTGAGTGCGAACGATCACAGTTACACAATATGACAAGCGACCAATACAAGTGCTGCTGATACGGTTGTGGTCTACAAGCAGCCAAAGAATCCTGGATAACACTTAAAAAATTACTGATGTCACACTGTAGCAATTGACCGGTGACTGTCGAAGGATGACGAACTTGAAGCACGATACTTCGATAATTCAGAAGTTGTCCAACTCGCGCGGTCACCCGCACTCCCTAGAGAGAAGCAGTTCACGTGAGCCCATAACATTCCAAACCTACCTCAGCCGGTTGGTTTTATAGGAAATCGCATTTTGCTTAAGAATCACATCTGCAATCGTTGTGATAGGTTATAACAAGTCGTGCTTCACGATAAGTAATGCTACATTAACCAGGAGAAGTGGTAACAATGCCATAACATTTCAACGTCCCAACTTGACCAGATCCATTAACGCGACCTTCAAAGTTGATGGGGTCAGTGGGCTTAAGTATATCAATGTAAAAATCAATGGCATCCAAGTTAAGTTACAACCTGATACTGCTTCAGAAATGACCATGAGCCCTCTCGATATGTGGCGCATGTTAGGATGGCCTACATCCGTGCAAACGAGCCATACGGCATGGAATGCTTCCGCAGGTGCATTGAAATTATTTGGGCAAATGAACTGTCAAGTGCGCTTCCGTGGTCAGCAAATCCACACGTGCTCAATGACAGACCAACTGGAGGTGAATTTGCTGGGAGTCGACTGGATGGCTGAATTGAAAGTACTTGGTTAACCAGTAAACAGTGCATGCCAGTCAACAAAAGTCAAAGAGCTGTCAAAACAGTCGATACCAGGCCAGATGTTTCAAAGTCAACTTTCAGAGATGAAACGATGACACGAAGCACTGTTTCAACATAGTCACGGATGCTGCAAAATAGTCAGTGCTGCCCCGAACCACAAGCCAGTCTTCAGATAAAAGCGCACAGTGCCATGCGCGAGGAAAAAAAGGTGCGGCCGCCGTCAAACAGAAAAAGGCATCAGCAGTACACCAGTACAGTGTACCGATACTTCGTTGCCGTGCAACCACCACCAGTCGCACGTTGGCTAAGGATACCCCGCGAGGGTCGACCGGTCCTCGAGGCTGGCTCGAGCCCGCGACCTCAGATTACAAGGCAGGCTTGTGGTCTTAAGGCTAGGGGCCGACGCGGTCAAACTGAGAGAAATCGAGCAAGGCAAAATGTATCGGCAGTACGGCAATACGAATTGTCGACGCTTCGATGCCGCGCAACAACCACCAGTCGCACGTGGACTAAGGATACTGCGATGGTCGACTGGTCCCCTACGCAGGCACGAACCCAGGATCTCAGAGCAGGTATGTGATCATTAGGGCCACGGCAGGTTATGCAGCATGAACATTGATGACATAGTTCACGCGCGGAACTTACGAAGATCGGGAAGATGTGATCGAGTGGAACAGTTATTGGTAGGAGGGATAAAGTCTTACACCAGCTAACGGTTGGAGGGGAGTGGTGGATCAGGCACATCAATCAGCTGAGGTCGAACCACGGCAAAACCGAAGGTTTTGCATTGGGACATTCTGCTAGACACGACCGGCTTGGAAGACGAGGACAATCGGCTACAGAAGCGGCAAACATCGGAAGATGCACGAAGCAGGCCGATTAGAAGCTGGAGACGACCACAATGACAGCAAGTCAGTCACAAGGAAAATCCTACGAACAAAGTCAAATTCGAACGATACGCAAGCAGACTCAAATCGAAAGGACAGGTGTTAGACGGCCGCAAAGGATGAACACCGTGACAAGGTTACGAACCGCGAAGCGGGCCTGCGGAAGGCAACGCGATCTAGGGCAGCTGATCAAGTCAGTCCGTCATCGTAGCACGGGTTGCTATTGCGCAGAAGTGAGAGGGGCTGCGGCCAAACATCAGAGATCGCGAGAAGACAGGTGACGTCAATCGGTCCAGTAAGGTACCGTTGGAAGTGAGGACGAATGACCTACAAATTTAACCATGCACTGTCCTTAATATACTTCGGCTTAGCAAGTCTTGTGTGCTGTTTACTACGGCTGGGTTGGACAGCGCACATGACGGAGAGCAGAGGCAGGCAAGCGTTACAACAGTGCAAATTCCAAAAACGGCCCTCAGTAAACATCTGGAATTTTTCGGTAGAGTACTAAGGTTACTGGGAAGAGTAGAATTAAGGGTTAATTGGAGCGATGAAACTGCGGATACAATTATGTAAAAGACCGGATGTGTCAGTACAACAGCCTTGCAGCACCTTACTTGCACGGCTGTTTCGCCCTGCTGCTCTCCTTTCCCCCTTGTAATTAGTGCCCGAAATTTAACACAAAATTAGAGAAATAGACTTAAATGAGAACAAGTGACAAGGATTATCGCACCATCGGATCATAGCAACGTATATAGAAAGCAGAGGAAAATAAAAGACAAAGAAACACCTATCGACAAGCGAGCAGGACAAACTGCTTGGACTGATTCAGTAACGCACTGTAAAACAAGAACAGACGAAAAGTGGGTGACGAGAGTAGAGGTTTATGTAAAGTGAGAAGGGCACACAAAGAGACGAACCTCCTCTCTTGCAAGTTTGTCCTCCTTGGACACGTTACAATGGGGCGTGATATCCCCTACAATGCATTCAGCGAGATCGTGAACAAGGGTCATCTTTAGAAGACTGTAAAGAGAACGGAGAAGGCAAAGTTGGATAAACTAGTAGCCAATTCACTGGCGAATGTCAGAAGACAGGGGCCAATTTGAGGTCAACTTATTCCATCAACGAATACGGACAAGTGCTTTATTTGGTAGTGCCGCGTACGAGTTGTCATGCGAGATTTTGCCAATGTAACTGGAACATGTAACATGAACATATTGGTTCTGCGCATGGGAATAATTGCTAAGGGGATTTCATCATGCAGTAAACCCGAGATTAATGTGAATCGAAGTATGAATTAAGAGCTAAGAGAATGACAGTCAGTAAAAAGACAGGCAACTGCAGCATTCGCGAACACCACTGGCAGCAATCAATGCAGTAATAATATGGAATCAAGCATGGAAACGCTTAGCGCAGTTAGTTTAACCCACCCAGTAGCTAACAACTACGGAACTATAGACGCTGAACTGTGGCTTAAGTTGAAGAGGAGACTTGTCACTGAACAGGTAGGCTACAGGACGGATGAACACAATGTTCAAAGAAGTAACGACGTACACAAGTTTGCGAAGCTAGAGAACACGTGTGAGCAAACAAGGTGAAGCAACTTTTCTCTGGAGATTTGGATTGTCGGTATTTTGGGAAAGTATGTTCCGATAGACCGGTAGCAGCTGGATAAAACGCAAATCTGTTTTTGTCCGTACAGCTGCTTGCTACTCAGTGGTGCGCTGGTTTTATCTAACCGACATTGGTCGCGGAGCAAGTATGCAGCGCCCATGGTAAAGCTTACGGTGGATCCATAGAATTGAAACAAACGGAGCGCACCTATGCAAGTCGCTCAGGAGCCGCGGGAAACAGTCAAAAATGATGGGGCGAGAAAAGTTATAACTGAAGATTCTTTAAAGTAGAAAACAATAAAATTGCCACAGGCGTGTGTTGATTTCGTACAGGATAGCTCAGGGGGGATAAAAAAAACTAGAAAACCATCCATCATTGAACGTACCGCTCCAAAGACACATCATGGCGCTCGGTGGCGGGCAGCACCACTGCCATAAGAGCCATGCGATACATATGATCGGCGACGCTTTCAGGCTGATCGATGTCATATCGAGTCCATCCAGTGCGAGTGGTGCGCTGCGAGAATGTAAAAAGAACACCATGGGTGACATACATCACGAGTGCATGTATCAGACCATCGTAACAATAGAGAGGGTGATCAAATAATGTAAGGTTAGCGAAAATTAACAGAGCGGAATAACAAAAACAAGAACGGAAGGAATGCCCAGGAAAGGATATCAAAAGGACAAATACTGAAACTTACCTTTAAGCGCCCGCACGTAGTAAGAAACCGAATCAGATTCTGAGGGGACATATCTAAAAAAGATGACAGGCTCGGTGGTTAAACACTGAATAAGCCTATTACATCGCAATAACCCCCGTGAGACCTTGGCAGTTAACTGGCTGGATGTTGCGGATCGAGAGAACATAGACAGAGTGTACGCAAAAAGGATGGTAATGGTAATTGTCACCAAGAGAGAAAAAAGCAGACCGCGCTAAGATGTCGCTAAAAAGGACAAGGGCGAACGGACTTTAACATAAGTGTTAATTGCGCGATGAATCTACATGGATGAAATACCGATCATAACACTGAATGTATATGGCATTAGCCACATAGACAGGAAAGTAGTTGGGGCGAGTAATTAAATGAACGTCTGTCAGAGCAAATCCTGCGTAGCTTGAAACTGATTTGAATGGATTCCAGCCTCAAGAGATGCGATACGCAGTCATGACTGCGGTTTGTGCGTGAATTGAAAGTAAAATACAGATTAAACATTTTCACCGACTACGCTTGTATGTCCAAATCGGTGCTACTAGACAGAGCAGATGTGAATCGAGGTCTGCTTGTGATGGAAAATGCGACGTACATGGATAAAACCGCGGCTTCTTGTATGGGTTGCCTAAATAAGACATTTATGATGCTGTCAAGTGAGAAGCTGAAAATGGATAGTGACAGTGCAAACACGTATTCTATGTCAGCCGAATTAACGGATGACAAAAACCAATAACGTGGCGACAGGGCCCGAACCAGGTAGACGATCCGTTGCTCTAGAAATACGTCACAGCAGAGGTCGCTCCACAGAGTTCATACTACTGAAAGAAGTGCATGGTCAAGATGCCCGTTTAAATCCAGAGATGTGATTTCCGACCAACATTATGTGTGGGAGGAAAAATCAGAAGAAACGGGAAGGGGAGCGAAAGCGAATAGCCAAAATACCGAAAGGGTAGCTAATGAAATAAATCCCAGAGTAGTTCGATAAAAGTGCCCGCTCCTGCTCAGTTAATACTATCACTGCTTATTATTTCGTCGTGTCAAATATAGCAGTGTGAGTTCTTAGGCGTAACAGACCTAACTGCGTGTGCCAACAATGACACTAAGATACCGACCTAAGATACCGACTTATCGTGGAGTTTTGCTGTAAAAATTTCAGAAATTCGCAGTGCCAATTGCTAGCAGGGATATCTGGCTCAATGCCAAGAAGCTCGCGACACTCGGATGTGCCACGAGGAGACGCACCGATTCGTAACATTGTATGGCGTCTAAAGCCATAGCCGCTAGCTCAGACAATCGAGAGCAGTGTGATAAGGCAGATAGCTTTAAGCAAACTGGTGACCCACTCGGACTCTCATGCACAACATGGGGGACCAGACACACATGTATGGGTAGGATGCGCATGATCTCGCAAGTGTACCGGATGCTACATGATTGCTTTGTGCTCGAATTCTGCGATCAACATGAGAGCGCAGATAAGCACTGTGCAACCAGTTAGAATTGAGGAATAGCAATCCCATATCGTTGCCGTTAAAATGACATACCTCGTGCTGGTCATTCAGAGTATGAGACCAGACAACTGAGGGCTTGCAGATTCGGATGATCTGAGGAGAATAGCGATTGAGTAATGGTAGAAGCTACGGTTCATCAAAGAAAATAGAATTATAAAGAACGAGTCGAGTCCGAGACGGCTTGACTTCTGCAACTCACTAGTTGACCAGAATTCAGTTGACTGTGCAAGTCATGCTACAGAGGAAAACACAACGTAATTGGACAAATAGATATATGCCCGAGAAGAAAGAGATTAAGACATAGTAGTACGACAAGTCTTTAGCGCTTGAGTCCATCGGATGATCCGCACTAGACTGTCCTGTGAGTCGACTATGCTATCGAGCATCTAACAACCAGAAAGAACCAGTGTTCATGAACAGGAAGTGAGGGCTGAGAAGAAGTTAATATAGTGTTAAATAGAAGCTGGATATGGTGTGATTAATCGTGTAAGGCAACAAGCGGGATAAAAAGAAGCTGTTTAAAGGGGTGTGTTGTGGCACGACAGTCCAATGCCCAACCACAGTGCCGGCACGTAACTTAAAGTTAAGGAGCTTGTCTTGTAATCTGGCGGATCGGTTTCGAGCCTGCGTAGGGACAGGGTGATCCTTGCAGTATTCTTAGCCCACGTGCGATTGGCGGTGATTGGGCGGCAGCGAAGCGTCAGTTCTGCGTCCCGGCGTACTGCCGATGGCTTTCGTTTTCCACAGTGCGGTGAAGGTGGATGAGTGAGAAGCGCACAGTGACCAGTGGACAAGAGTATCCTCAAGTTATGAGCATGCAACTGCAAGATCAAACCGTAAAGGTTGCTCGAACCGTAGTTACTGACTAAGACGGAATGCGTGGAGTTGAAGGCGAAAAGAAGCTAAACAGCATACACTGTGGTTTTCAAAGACGCACGCAGTCAGTCCGGTTTAGGTAAGTACATGAACTTTGATTTGTGCAAGAAGCCGCATGCAGTAAGGAATTAGTATGGACGCGACGGGTTCGGGACAATGGGAAGTTAACTAAAAGCTATCCTCTATACTGTCGAATAGTATAAGCAGAAAACTTAGGAACCAGCGCGTCTGTCTGATAGCACAAACAAAATAGACAAAATCAGCTATAATGTGTATGACAGCGATAACAGCAGAATAGGTCCGAGTCACCAATTTGAAAATAGCTACAGAATACCGGTTTCGTAGACCCCTTTTCGAGCGGTCTCTACACACGGAAATGGCACACATCTGTAGCGTCGTCCATCAAGGGGAGCAAAATGACAGACTTCTGACACAGACCAGCACAGGCTGTAGCAGAGGTCTGGAACTGCCTATATATGCATTCAGTGGAAGTTAACTCTGACAAGTGGCAAGTATTCGTTGTCCACAACATGTGACTGCAAATTGGGTGACGGAAATCACAAAGACAAACAAAGAATTCCCAATACAATCAGCCGTGCTCGGACGTAAACACGCCTCACTAATTGGGATCACCCGATTATCAGCATGCTTTTGCACACTTCGGCATTTCCTGAGGTTTGTTGCTACTATTCACCATCTGATAAATGTGGGTACTGTGCATCTTGTAGCGGAATTTTTAGTCAACGGTTTGGTAGTATTACTAGGATGTTACATCTTAATGTGATTTAAACCATCCATGCTGCGACAACCACACAATCGCTGATAAAATTGGTCGTATTACAGCGTTTCACAAGGAATAACTGCTTTAGTTGTTCTGCACACAATAAATCAAACTAGTCCGGTCACCCAAAGCATAACAAAAAGTCAACGTATCTCTCAAATCTGAATCAATTCGACTGAGGAACACACCTATCCTTATCGAGACATCGCTGCAACGAAGTAATCTCAGGGGCTGGTCAGAAAGGCAATATAATATTCCATAAATCAACGCAACGCATACTTAAGTAATTAGAAAATGAGTCAGCAAAATATACTTCTATTTCAACAGCAGCATAGTGCCGTCAACTCAATAAAGTAAGGTCTGTTGAAAACTTAGTTATTAGAGCGAAATGACTTCACGTATTTCTTCACAGAACATGCGGTAGACTTGTAATTCTTCAAGGCATCAAAAGTAACCGATACGTCTACAATGTGGAAACATTAGATATTAGTTACAATACGTACAGTGGTTCCACGTAGAACATATCCGATAAGGTAGCTGTATTAAAAAAGGCATGACGTTTGAAAAATTAGACTAGATACCCACGTCATTTATGAAGGTGAATGTTTGAGGTAACAGCCGGTGCTTTACTTTTGAGGCCGGACCCACGCTTTGATCAGAAGTGCTCCAAACACCTTCGGCAACTGAATAGTATACGGCTCCGATACATGTGCCAAACCTAATAACATTCCTGAATGAATACCAGAGATAACATTGGAGAAACTAACTTCGCAACAGTAGCAACAGCCATGGAAAAGGATAGGATGGACAGCTTTCTGAGATAATGTTGGTCTAGAAACCGGAACAGGTCGCTAGAAATAGCGACGCAGCCGTACCTAAAAGTGAAGCATACAAAAATAAACAAGTAATCAAAAATCATAAAGAAAATACCAGTTATGTGGTGATAAAAGACAAGAATGCAGTTCATCATCTAAAATGTCCGTGCGAAAGGAGACCTGTCCCAGTTACCATCTGCTGACAAATGGATATGATGGATAAGCCGGAAAAGCTAGAAAACGGTGCAATGGAAACCAATGAGTAATATAAAAGCAATATGCATGCTGATATTTGCAGCAAGCATTGAGCAAATTGTGAAAAATGTAAGCCGGAAACAACTGTTAGGTAAGAGTAAACGGGATTAGGTTGGTAACAGCATGCATCATGCGAAGTATATATATATATATATATATATATATATATATATATATATATATATATATATATATATATATATATATATATATATATGCATGATGTATACTGGTACCAACCTAATCCCGTTTACTCTTACCTCATATGTAGTGTCATATGCACAACCATCAGCTTACCGTTGGCACGAAGCTGATAGTGTATAAATCCATGGTGCTGACCGGTCTTCTTTACGGCAGTGAAACGTGGATGATGTACCGGAGGGATGTGCGATATCTGGAGCGGTTCCATCAACAGTATCTGCGACGGATTCTGCGTATCGGTTGGTGCGACAAGGTTGCGGACACGGAAGTGCTGTGACAAAGTGGAATGTATGCAGTGGACTGCATACTTTTGCTGAGACACTTTAGGTGGCTCGTCATGTGTGGCGTATGCATTCGACGCGGATACCGAAGCAGCTATTATATGATCTACTGAGTATGGGGAAGTGGCATGTGGGGAAACTTAATTTACGTTACCATGACATGATCAAAGTGAGCCTATCACGTTCTAATCTTGATTGCAGGTCATGGAAATCAAAGCGGTTGATCGGCGTGCATGGCGCAATCTGATCACGAAAGCCGTTGCCGACGTGTGAGAAAGGCCTCGTGCATGCAGAGAAGAAGAGGTAATTTCGGAAACGACAAACTCCGATGGGTTGTACTTTATTGACATCGAGCTCATGGTGCTGTAGCACATGCGGTCGCGAGTGCCTGAGTCAGGCAGGCCTAGTGAGTCTTGTCTGAGAACAGACAAATGTGCCATCAAAAGCATGGTTGTAATGGAGTAAAAATTGGTTTGTCCAACAAAGGAAAACCGCTTTTTTTACTGTTGTTGTTTCACATATGCTGTTTTGATTTTCTTTCTCGAGTAGAATTGAAATTTGGATGAAGCGGAAATGCTAGTATAGCATTGAGGCCACAAATTTCTACCGCGAGCCATAACCTCCAAAACTTCCAACCACTGGAAGTCCCGTCACGAGGTGCATAAGGTGGAGGACGGACAGATTCTGCTGAAGCCAAACATGAGGTGGCGTTTACAATATTCCTTTCCCACGTAATCGATTGTCCGCCTCCGTATTTTTCCACCGGTGCTCAGGAAATGCAAATAATGCTCAGCGAGGTAGTCGATTATCTGGCATGTGCAAAATGTGACGGAGCCAACGTAAAACCATGTTCGAGAGTAATGCCCTAGAGGCTTGGTTTGTTCGCTTCGGGTACTCCACTGCTTAGTTCTGAGTTGCTTACATGGTGTTGCCACCACACATGTGGGATCGTTTGCAAGTAGCGGTTGTCGAAAGATGAGTCGTTTCAGATCTTCTGCGTGAACAGGCCAGGTGTCGCAGCCGTACAGCAAGACCGCAAGAACAGTGCCACCATGCACTCTGCCTCTAAGCATTAGACTGATGTTGCGGAGGTGCCACAAGTGTCGCAGGTTAGTGGACGCCAGGTGGGATTTAGCGATTCGCTGTGATACCTCACTAACAATACCGTCACCCGCCGTGATACAACTCTCGAGATAAATGAAGCGATTCACTTGCTTCAGACAGTCACATACAATTGTGAGTGTTGGCGCCGATACTTGTCAATCTTGGAGCAGTGGTTTACATTTGGATTGGGAAAAATACAAACCGTATGGTAGATGCCTCGATCGCAAGGCGGGTCAAAAGGTTTTGGATGGCCTGTGGGTCATCCACCAGCAACGCGATGTCATCAGCATAATGCAGGTCTGCAACTCTGCCCCCAGGGAGGAGCACGTCGCAGCTCTCAAATCCTTCCAAAGCGCGGTGGAGAACACCATTGATTGCAAAGTTGAATAAGTACAATGAGATAGAGCAAACTTGGAGTACTCTGCTGGTAACAGAAAGATGAAAAAAGCCTTCCATAAGCTTTAACTTTACCCGATGTGTGACGATAGAGTTCTTGCAGGACTGTGAAAAATTGGTCGGTTATACCGCTCCTTAGCAGACAGTTCCAAGGAGTCAAAGGTGGCATGGATGTTCAAAAAATCCACTATTGTTGGACTTCCATGGACGTGACGATGAAGATCTGGTCGATGCAACCACGACCACTGCGAAAACCAGCTTGTTCTCGCGAGACAAACTCTCTCAAGTAGCTGAAGTCCTGCGAAGCAATATGGACACAAAAACCTTAGACGCGACCGATATAAGTTACATTTCTCGGTAGTTGGTGTAGTCGCTGCGAAGGCCTTGTAAATCGAAACCGCGATAGATTCGTCCCTATGGTTGGGAATCTTCTCATCGACCAACACTTCCGTGAAAAATGAAAGCAGTTCGTTGATAACTGTATTCCCAATGTCTTAGAATACGGCCGCGAGAACGCTGTCAGGGCCTAGGGCTATGTATGACTTAAGAGTCTAGATTTCTCTCCGAATCTCTACCTCAGTGGAAGGATCTGTACACACGGGCCATGCACTACACGGTAGCAAATGGTATGTTACCGGTAGTTGAGATGGAAAATTAAATGAAACAGCAAGGTGTTCTGTGTGTTGTGTTTCAGACCCATCTAGAACTCGGAGCACCTTATCAACTCTTGACTCAACGATCCGCACAAGAAGGAACAATTATGAGGTTCCAGTCTCACTTGAAATTCAGTTATTGCTGGCGTAAGGGAAAATAATAAAAGCCGACTTCCGTATTGACCAAATCGAGTAGCCTTGCTCCCTACATATTTTCAACGTCATCGTAGTGATCTGTACACCTATAGCTTCAATAATACTACTGAAGGGAAATATATGACAAGTAAAGGATTAGTGAACTTGGGCGTACGCACGACAGCTTGCTCGGATTCGGGTTGATCCGCTGAGAAGCTGAAGGTGAGTAGACAGTGCACTTTACGTACATATGTCAAGCGCAAGAAATTATAGGGTACCAAAACCAGAGGAATAAGGCAGTTGTCACATCATCTGGAATTTCTGTGGTCGATCTATGTCTCATAACAGCCGACAGATTCGCCGTACCTTTCTGTCTCAGACAAGCTGTGTTCCGGCCCGTTGCCTTAAGAATCAGAAGCCTGCCTTGTAATCCGAGGGCGCGAGTTCGAGCGTGCGCAGACCGGACGACCCGCGCAGTATCCTTAGCCCCCGTGCGACTAATGGTGGTTGCGCAGCAGCGAAGCTACGGTACTGCGTACCGGCTTACTGTTGATGCCCCAACCGTTAGTCACGGTCAACAGGCAGCCAAGTTTCAAGAACATTCACCACCAGTTTCCCGGCAAACAGCAGGGAAAAAGTGCGCCAGCGAGAACATGTGCAAGCGCACGACCACGTTGGTCCGACCAACGGCGTAGATTATCTCGTACTGTAGCAGTCTGGAGATTCCCCGGTTTGCCTGTGTAAAATTCTAACCAAAATTCTATAATTGTACACCTAGGCAACCGGTGTGGTCTGTTGAACTGCTTGCTGAGTTCGAATGCTTTACTCGCTCATCGCCATTTTTTGCTTGGCGCTCGTTTCGGTTGCAACGCGCAACTGCTCTGTGTGCTGTGCTTGATCCGTTCCCCTAGCTAGAGCGTCCACGATGTCGTTCTTTTATAGCTAGATACCAGGGAATCTTTTACTGTACCAATAAAAGTTTCCCTGCAACTCGATCTGTCTTCTGAAATCGCTCTCTGGGCTCCCGGAATAGGCAACCCACTAAATTGGTGACCCCGACGTGACCGAGTTTCTAATCGACACTGGCGCCGAAGTTAGCGTTATACCCCGTAGCTCAGATGAGGTCGTCTCACCATCGCCGACCAAGCTGCGTGCCGCCAATGGCACACCAATCACAACTTTCGGCGAAAAGCTGCTAACGCTCAACTTAGGCCTCCGGCGAACCTTTCGCTGGCCTTTCATAATCGCTGCTGTGCCTTTCTCCATCATAGGCATAGACTTTCTGCAACGCTTCGAGCTCATCGTCGACGCTAAAAGGAAGAAGCTTATCGACTCTAGGACACAGCTCAGTGTTATCGGGACTAGCGCCAACGTGGTTGCTATCACTCCCATTCGTGTCCTACCTCAAGCTTCACAACCTTTTATAGAACTTTTCAACAAGCATCCTAACCTCGTTCGCGTCCTGAACGACTTGCCTCCTGTGACGTCGAACGTCATGCATTACATTTGCACTAAGGGCCCACCTGTTTCGGCCCGCCCTCGCCGACTAGCCCCGGACAAGCGCAAAGCTGCCAAGGCGGAATTCGAGCAAATGCTCGAACTGGGAATCATCCGCCCGTCCAAAAGTCCATGGGCATCACCATTACACATGGTGCCGAAGAAATCCGGTGACTGGCGCCCCTGTGGTGACTACAGGGCTCTTAACAAAGTTACTGTCCCGGATAAATACCCTATTCCGCACATGCACGACTTGACCTCAGCTCTAGCTGGCAAGTCTATCTTCAGCAAAGTCGACCTAATTCGCGCCTATCATCAGATACCTGTCGCGCCAGATGACATTGCTAAAACAGCAGTCATCACGCCATTCGGCCTATTCGAGTACCTCAGAATGCCTTTCGGCCTCAGCAACGCTGCCCAAACTTTTCAGCGTTTCATTCATGAGGTAACGCGAGGACTCGAAAGCGTTTACCCTTATCTAGATGACATTCTTATCGCGAGCTCTTCTGATGAAGAACATCTTCATCAACTCGACGCT